CATAAGCAATTGTGCACACACACCCACATGTACACAAGCCGTTTGCAAGAGTATGCATTTTGTCTGTGTGCTGCTTCAACGCTCGTGCCACCGAAAGCAGTGTTGTTATTGCTGCTTTTGCGCCACTGCTACGCTGACTACCGCTTGCTAATGTTTATTTTGTTTATTGGTACTGCTATTCCATTCAGTGTAGTTGTTGTTTTGATTGTTGGTTGCTGCGCTCTTGACGCTTATTATAAATTATAATGATTTCGCTGAATCTGCACTCATCATAAGCCGATTGCTTCGATAGCCTGCCCGCCTACCTGCATGCCGGCCACCAACTGCTGCCTGCTGTCGACTGACTGCTATGCTGTTGTTACTATAGCAACTAATGCTGGAATAACAATAATAGCAATAACAACATGCAGGCATGTTGATCAAACCGTTGTGTTGTGAAATGCTGCGTGAATGTGTAAGTGTGTGTGTGTTACTGTGCCTGTCAATGTTATGTGTTCATTTCGCTGGAAAATTAACGCGTGAACAACGGCAGTAACATTGTGACATCAACGTAAGACAACTACTACAGCTACAACTATACATATATGTACATATATATGAAGGGTTAACAGTAATCGCTGAAGCTTGGCGTTGGGTGGCGAAAAGAGCTACGAACGTGTGTAACACACTGACAAGCGCGCTGAAACTCTGGCATATAAATGTATATATGTACATATATTAGGGTGGTAACAAAGAAAAATGTTTTTTGGCTTGGAAATCGCAAAATAAGTTCATAGACCAATACAAAAGCACACATTAGGGTAGTTACAAGAAAGACATATTTTTTTTTTCACTTGGTACTAAGCAAAATTGGTTGTTAGACCTATACAAAATCTATAAAAAGAAAAAAAATTCAAGCAGTTGAAAGTGATTAAGAGGTGTCTAAGAACCTATTTTGCCGAGAAGCAATAAAAGTTTTTTGATTTCTTATCTCTATACATACATACATATACTTGTATGTTCAAGTACGATTATAGCGTGCTAATACACTTTTATCTACTTTAATTGCTACACTTGATGTAACAAGTTATCTGCTCTAACGGCTAATATAAAATAATGATGAATAGCGAGGGCGCAGCTGACCTTTATCTTTTCATTATACCAATAAAAAGGTCTATTAAAATAGACAAGATGTTTGTTAAGCCCAAAATATATCACTTTGAAGTTAATATTAAGGGTAAGAGTCGACTAAGTCCTTCCGCATCTTCCTCCATATATGTGGTATACCAAATAGTTCCACAGTTTTTGAGTTATCAATTTAAGATAACAATAATGTATTCTCCAAAGAAATTGTTCAGTTCGAGTCACTATAGCATATAGCTGCTATACATACTGAACGACCACCACTGCTTTTTGATTTATTTGTTTAAGTAGGAAGTTTTTAGTTATTTTCATTGTTTTTGTAAAATATTTTTAGCAGTTTTACCATATTTTGGTACTCGGAATACCAAATATTTTGCCGTAATTTCCAAATCTACTTTTTCCCCAACTTTCGACTAATATCTGGCTTCCAACTTGTCTTTGCTTACGACTCTCGCTGCAATTATTAAAATCGTTTTTCTTTTTTGTAGCTACGCTTTTTTGTTACCTCTAGCTAAAATATTCATTTGCATTAATGAGAAATGTGATTTCGTTTTACTTTTACGCACGCTGAAATAATGATTACAATAATTATATCCTCGAGGCGCGTGCATAACTTAAAATGGCAGCGTTATGCCTGCATATGAGTTCCCATAATTGCATATGCATATAATGTAATGCTGATTTTTCCAACTGTAATAAATTGATGCATTTGCTTAATGAAGTTAGTACGATAAAAAAAAAAATACGTGTAAACGTTTGCAAATGTGGATATGACTTTAACAAGCTGAAGTGATTTATGTTGAAGATTGTTTTTGTCTTTGTTTGCGTACTAAAACTGTAGTATAGGTTGTAGCTAGTATATAACACAAATGCTGCGAAGGCATCTAAGACCGCGTACAGCCACCTAAAACTGCCCTAAGGTATGCTATAATAAGGCAGAGGTGGAACCGCTTGAAACTAGCTAACTAGGTTTTTTAAGTTCAAGCTTATTTCTGGCTTTAGGAATTTATTAAGTTTACGGAAGACTTTTATAAAGCAGTCGAACTTATAAACCGTCCGCTAACAAATTTACTACGGCTTAGTGCCAGCTAATTATAACCTTGCCACATATTTCAGATCTATACCTAAGAAAACTATCTACCGACTTCATCATCTATACACAGCATCATGAAAATTTACTGAACTTTCCGTACTTTGAAGTCGTCCATGTCTGACTTACAGTCCTGCGAACACCCTTTCCATATTTTCTATGTGTGTGTGTCTGAAAATATGAGTATTATACTGTCTAAAGTCATCAAAATGATAGCAAAAATGTTTTGGTAAATCTTTTATAAACGCTGTCACATTCCACTAGTACGGATCATATTAGAGTTTGAGGTACTGTAGCAGCATTTTTATCGCTTTTGAACAGAAATCCAAAAACATTTGGAACTTGTTAAGATCCTATGAAACTGTTGAAGTTATAAACCCTTCTCTAACAATTTTACTGCTTCCGAAACTTATTCTGGACTAATAAGGACTCGTTTTAACTTTACCACATACTTATGTTCTACAACTAAGAAAACTATCTACCGGAATTTATGAAAAAATTTCCAAATTCCATTCGCTCATCGAACTACTTTAAATCGACACAATCGGCTCACAACCAATTCATGGCTTTTCATTATTTAGTCAGCTGTTGTTTTTACTTCACATTCATCAACAATACACTGTTGTTGTATTGAATACTGATTCGCTATAATCCCCAGCATTGTTTCGTGCTGTTATTGATGTTTAAGCTCTTTGCCACTTAGGTCGCTCTACTTATCATTATACAGCGAGCAAATCCAATTAGATTATAATAATATGCGTAGAAGTGATTTGCGTTTTAAATAAAATGGAAAATCGAAAACAACAACAGGAAAAACATGAATTCTAAATAGCAAGCGGATTAATAGGAAATTCATAAGCAGGCACAAAATGCGTGAAACGGAAACGAAAATGTATTTATTTGGGGATTAAAATAAAAACCGGACTATAAAGCGTACAGTTTAAGTAAATAATTTAAGCGCTTGAGTAAATTCAAGTCTTTTTTCGTTTGTGCCTAAAAGCAAAATAAATAAAATAGAATTGAGAAAAAATAATATTTTTCTAATTTTTAAAATTTTATAGCAGCTTTGATTTATTTAATATATAATTAAAAAAAAAAATTACTTAAAATATATGTAAATGTATACATACATAATTTTGCTTTAAACCATGCATTCAAACGCAAGTGCACATATCTTCACGTTATTTCACAACCACACAAAAGCTGTTCCGCACTGACTCACAAACTAATTGTTGGCTTTTCTAGCATCTTTTCTATTAAATCACAATTGAGTGGTTGCCATGACAGCGCTTTGTGCTTTTTTGGCAATTATTGTGCAAGTTGTGCAAATTTATTCAAAGAACTCTTCAATTTTTGACGCACGTGCGCTTCATAATTTGTAAATATGTATGTGGCCATTAAAATGCCTAATAAAAATTAAAAACAGGCTAAAAAATACCAAATAAGCAAGTACCTGTGCGTAAGTGTATATTTTGAGAGCAATTGTGCACGCAAATTAAAGGTTAAGTCAAATAACAAGGCATAATTCGGCATGGCTTCAGCTAGTCAAGTTGAAATCGTAATGAATATGGGAGAGCAATAATTGGCTTTTGATTGTCATTTGATTTATTTGGTATCATGCTGAGGAAAACTAGTTACTGGGGAGCTGAGTCGGCGGCAAAGCTTTTTTATAGTTCAAATTTGAAATTAATGCAGGTTTTCCGCACTGCTTTAAGACTTTCGAGGATTTTAAATTTGAAGAGAATATTCCTCAAATAATTATACAAAAATTTAGAAAAAATTTCATTCGTTAGCTTGGACATTCCAAAATATCTTCCTTAAAGGACATTTCAAAGTTCAAGCTATTTCTAAAGTTATAGCCCTTTTATTATTGCGGAAACTGGATTTTTGTAGCTCAGCACGAAACTTCAAACGCACTTTGCCGAACTTACTATTTTAGGTGCAGTTGCATTAATATCAGAAGTTTTAATAATCCGATTCACTTGAAATATGGCAAGATTATTCTTTTTCCTAGCAGATAATACTACCTTAAAAACATTCTTATTTCCTTCAGCACTCTAGCATATGAGTATATAGAATATACAAATTCCAAATTTTAGGTTGACTGTACAAGCCACTTAAAATGTGAGTTTTCTTAGAAAAATTATGGGAAACYACTTGTATTACCATGAATATACTTAATTTTGTAATTGTCGCAGAACATATTCTATCCTTATCAAAAAAATTTGCTTAATATATGAGTTAATGTAGTCTTTCTATTAAAAATTGAAAAAAAACTCCCTTATATATAGAATGCGAAATATATTTTCCATATCCTCGTTCTTCTGGTGTATTGTAATCGGCTCATAATTTTGTGCAACAACGAGATAGATTTTCAAAATGTTAATTTGTTCAAATTTTGACAGTTTCTAATTTTCGACATGAACATCAGCTCAATGCCTCTTACTTCTTTATATATACTTATACAATATATTTTCACTGATAACGCTAAAAAGCACCCGAAATATGACCTTAAACTGACTCAATGGGAATTCTGGCTTATCGCTAATGTGGGTTTTTTCAGTTTTGAATTATTATTAAAATATATATGTAGGTATACGTGGTGCGTCATTTCTTCCACAACATAAATCGACTCGAAATTTTATATACATATTTTCCTTTGCAAGAATCGGTTCCAAAAGAATTATGTCATTCCTATCACTGTTTTTACTTTTTTTTGTTATTTTTTTACTTTTTCGTATTTCTAATTGAGTATTTATAAGACACTTACGCTGCCACACAACATTGCGGTACAATACATTGACGAGATCAGTCAGAGCCGCAGCTCAAGTAAAAGTATTAATGCTGAGATGGCGAATTTGGCACACATTATTTTAATATTTCTAAACATCTACGGTATTTTCGCGGCAGATTCTACCTGTAATAATTATGGTAAGACCAACTTTATATTAACTTGATTAACAGCATAAGCAAAATGGTTTGCCATCGGGTAAAATAGTTTCAGAAAACGCGGAGAATAAGCATCCCTTCATAAAAATCGGCAACAAGTACTACTTTATAAACGAGTCATTAAAGGTAAGGTAGGTGCTCTATAGAGAAGTGATTATTGTTTTTATTAAAAATATCTCTTCGAATAGATGAACTGGTTCGCGTCTTCTTACTACTGCCGCTCTTATGGTGGCGAATTGGCAAATATTGAATCGCCTGCAGAAATGCTGGCACTGCAAAATTACATTTCAGCTAGAAAAATAGAATCGCGACTTTGGTTTGACGGCAACGATTTGGCAAGGGAAGGAGAATACATATCACACGCCACTGGCCGGCCTTTGACCTTCACCAATTGGTTACCGAATAATCCTGACNTTGACGGCAACGATTTGGCAAGGGAAGGAGAATACATATCACACGCCACTGGCCGGCCTTTGACCTTCACCAATTGGTTACCGAATAATCCTGACAATTCGAGCAATGAAGATTGCCTTGAACTTTATTTGTACAACAAAACACTTTTAATGAATGATGATAACTGTGATCGCAAAATTTTTGCGATTTGTCAGTACCCCGAGCGTTATAGACAAAAGTCGCTGACGTATCAAAACGATAACTCTATACTAAGTGGCTTAGTTGAGGCTTTTGCGCAAACTTTTCAAAATTGTAAATCAAGGGCGTTGTGCCCCACATCATAGGGCGTGCGCGGCGCTTATCATTTTGTGTCCCCTTCAAACGAATTAGAGAGGATGACGCCAACTAAGAGTACATAAAGCGAAGGATACATGGCGCTCTTTCAAAGTGCACGACTTCACAAAGTGTAAGTTGTTGTTTCACATTTATACCTGTATATAATTTTGTATTAGTCTTCAATCTTTATACTGATCTCTTACAAACAAAATTAAATAAAACTGGCAAATGGGAGAARGTTGCAATATATTTTTAATTAAGAAATTGTAAATAACATAGCGAGTTTAAAAATTTTGAATATAGTTGTTCAAACAAATATATTTTAAAAAAAAACTTAATCGTAAATATACATACATACGAAAATTAAAAAAATATTGTGAAATAAAGTTTTATATTAGTCTTTATTGCTGCACATATATGGATCATGGAAAATGAAATGAATGCAAATAAATTTCACATTTAATAAGCTTGAAAATAAGTGCTCAAAAATATATTATTTTCAAAACAAAACATTGTGTGAGGTGTTGCCACTGAAATGTAAATAAATATACATACATATGCACATATGTAAATAAATTGTATAGCGATATCTATTGAGAACTTAGCTTTGTAGTCAGAAACGGAAAACAATAAAGCAATATCTGCTCCAACATCTTTTTCTAGCTATTCTCTTTGATGCCATATACAAATTGCTAGATAATAAAGCAGTGCTAAAAGACGAGATCGATCTCATATTGTTTTGTACAAGTAAATTCGTTTAGAGATAAGCTCGAAGGAATTCTTAAAATTATGAATGACAAAACTGTACTACGAGTATATTCCCCCAGAATATGGAAAAATTCATAGCGATTGGTTTAGGCAAAATGTTATGAAAACGATTTTCATCATACACAGAGATTATATAATTTCATTTGATGATATCAGCGTCAGACATTTTTCCGACTATGTATCGATTATCTCGAATTCAGTCTCCTTGATGAACTTTTGATGCTTTGAAGTTGTCCATGCCTTAGTAACAGCGTTGTGAAAACCTTTTTCCTTATTTTTTGACTTTGGCCAAAGTGTCAGAAATATATCATCAAAGTGATAGCAAAGGATCTCAGCATCTTTTTGAATCGAAAAAATTTTCGTTGCTGTTTTGGTTATGCTTTGGTTATTATTTTGGTAAACCTTTAGTTAATATTTTGGTAAACCTTTAGTTAATGTTTTGGTAAACTTTCGATCTAAGTTTGGTAAATTTTTTTGGTTATGAAGCGTTTCAATGCTAGATTCTTAAATACTATCACAGTCACATTCTACTAGTATGGATCATATTTGATGCTGAGTATGTAGGTACTTAAGCAACTATTTGAATACTTCCGATCGGTCAAAAGCCTTTGGAACTACGTAGAAGTAGAGCTCCAGACAATGAACTAGACATTTAACTATAATAATAAAAGCAGGAAACAGGTGTCTATATATTTAATGTATTGGATACGCATATCTTTTCTATGGATAGCGAAGCTTTCATGCGTTATTTTGTGAAAATAATATGAAACAAATTAAATAATATATTTAAAAACCCAAAAACTTTGAAAGATATTTAATTTTTAAATATGCTAACGTAAACTCGCACATAAAACCATAATCAATATAAAAAAAAAAATATTTTCACTTCATTTCTAAAGTTCCAGCGCGTTAAGATCAGCTTCAAAGCAAATATAAAATAAGAGTGGAAGTCAGTTGCCAAAACTGGAACAGTAATTTCATTAAAACAACAATTTTATGCGACCACAAAAATACAAGTGGTAAACAAGTCCATAAGCACCTTGAGCTACTGCCGCCAACACAAACACAACACACAATGACCCTGCAAAGCTACACTACTCAATATAGGTGCCGGTGTGTGCGTGAATAAGCTATTGTATACACACAGGCGTGGCAAGTGAACTGCATGAGGTTGAAGGCTCCTCCCTCTCGCACATGATTTTAAAATTCAAATTCTACGCTGCATTGGCAAAGTTTCACGCTGCAAAGCGAAATGTTGGCGCCAAGCAATGACAATTGCATCACAAATGCAGTGCATGTATGTGTTGGTGTGTGCGTATGTGTGTGTGCAGTGTTATAGAAAATGTCTTGCCATCAAACAGTGCCATAAAACCGCCAGTAATATGATTGTCTATATGCTAATGTAAAGCCTCACTACTCAACTAAAACTAAAACTCGAGCTATGAAATAAGCTTAAAAGCACTAAGTGACAGTAAAATAGCAGTATAATATGCATGTGCTGCTGTGCGCGTGCGCCTACAGATATGCAAAGGATATTAGCAGTGTGTACTGTTACGTGCGTTGATAGCAAAGCAGCTGCTTAATGTGTGCACAGGGAGTGGCAACAACACAGCAAGCCGAGCGTAAGGTCAGCAAACAATGCAGCTGATCAACCGCATATACTGTATGTCGGTTCGTGTATATACATACATATGTGTAGATAGTGTTGCTTGTGTCATAGAATTTTGTGTTGATCGTTTGCGGAATTTAAATTTTATTTAATTTTAGAGTACCCAGCCTAAAATAGTATTGTATATGTGTGCGTATATATGTATATATGGGTAATAGTAAGTGGACAAATGAAAGCAGAGAAAATTTGTATAATTGTAAATGATATTCCGTTACTGAAGGATGTCTCAGAACTGTGTTTGTTATGTCAGTTAAAGGGTGTGCTGCGGCTGAGAACGGGGAGGCACTACAAGGATAAAAAGCACGGTATGAAAACATGCAGTTTTGGAATAAATATACACTATTTTAATAAAATTTTACAGAGCTCTTCAAGCACATATAAGATAAAGCACAGCACAAAACAAGAAGAATTAAATATGATGAGCTTTTTATTTCACTTAAATTATAATCAGAAAAACGAAAAGCTTTCAAAAAATTTGACGAGTTTTTATTTCATTTCAATTTTTATTTTACAAAAGAAAAAGATTTCAGCATTTTTACCGTATAAACGGAAAGCTTTCATCATGCTTGACGAGGTTTTTATTTTTCATTTAATTTATTTATCTTTAACTGTAACCGCATTAAATGGGAAACTTTCAGTAAACTTCACGAGCTTTCTAATTCATGTTTATTTTTATTCCAGAAAACAAACGGTATCACAAACTTTATAAATCTTCTATTTTATTCCTTACTGCAGTCGTATAAAATGGAAAGTTTTCATCAAATTTGACGAGCTTTTTATTTAAAAGATAACTTTAATTATATAAAACGGTAAGTTTAAACTATTATAACATTTTAAAGCTTTCGATAATAATTCAGAGCTTTTTATTTAACATCTAATTTTAGTTGTATAAAATCTAAAGTTTTCACTAAAATTTATGAACATTTTATTTAACACTGACTATTATTCGTATTCGTATTATTCGTATAAAAATTTGTTTTTCAATAACTTAGCAAGCTTTTAATTAAAAATCAAGCTCTATTTTTATACAGAAACGGAAAGCTTTCGCTAATATTTCCAAATTTTTATGTAAAAATGTTTCAAAATGAAAGCTTTCACTAAATTGAGTGTTTATTTTATATAATATGAAACTTTAGTTGCATTAAATGAAAAGCTTCGATAAACTTGCCGAGCTTTTTATTTACTAACTAATCGTATTCTGAACATACTCACAGCATCCATGAAATTAAACAAGCCATTTTTTAACCGTTACTTATGATCATATAAATGTAAAGCGTTCATCAATTTTATGAGACTTTCATTTCATTTAACTATTATCTTAAGAAAAAGGAAGCTTTCCTTCAAACAAGAAACAGCTAATTATAATTTTATTAACCAAAAAACTTTTCAAACTTTACGAGCTATTAATTTTTCTTCCTAATAATACCACATTAAATGGAAGCTTTCACTTTATTTGGCGAGCTTTTTCATAGTTTGTGCATTTTTATTCGGGTTTCAGTGGTATAGAAAGGAGTTCGTTGCATCAGCAACAACATATAGGCTTTGTAAAATATTCTATGAGTTTGCTCTAGAAAATATCGGAGTATTTTAAAAATATCTGAAATACTCCGTTTACATTTAGTAAAAAATGTAAAGAATTATAATTTGGTTGCTAATATTGAGAATTTAAATTTCATTTCCAAAACTTATGACCAATAATTTTAATTTTTAAGCCCACCGTTAGTACCGGAGTCCTGCTTTCACATCGTCCGTCGTACGTGCATAAGACATGTGTGACAAAAACGTGACGCTGAAATGTTGTTGTCGTTGGCGTCTTCACACACACACCTACGTTCATATGAACGTCCACATATATACGTGTTTGTGAAAAATTGTCAGTCACACGCATGATAATACCAACATCTACTGGATATGCATATGGCCTGTCGGCTTGTCGGCTTGTCGGCCGTTTACTGTCCGCTGTCCGCAACAGTGACGCACAGTTGATTGCACTTCAAAATATGGCGCGCCAAAAGTGTGGGAAGCTGCTTTATATCTTACGCCACTCCTTCTTTCCTGTGCAACGCCAGCACTCGTGACCGCTGCCACTCCTTCAGCAGCGTCATCGTCGCCATCAACATCATTACGTTGTCTGTTGCTATTTGTTTCAGTGCCACCTACCGTGCCCTGCCGTTGTAACGTACACCCCAAGTGCCTCGCTCTCATTGTCTGAATATCTTGGCGACAAGCAAGTTTGGTTGTTTTCTGGTTCCTTGGTTGCTCGGTGAATGGCTGAATGCCTGAAATTATGCAACGGCATAAAATGTAGTACACACACACATACTCGCATACATAGTTACCAAGTGAGAGATATCTGCGTTTGTATGCGTACAAATTTGAGTAGCGGCTGTCATATTGCCGTCGCCCCAGCCGCTCGTCACTGCTTTGGCTCCGGTTCCGGGCTCTGCCACTGGGTAATGGTAATAATAATAATAATATAATATCCTCGTATGTATGTATGCAGCGTTGAGCCTCTTTTGTGGGCAGCACTGCCCGTATAAGCCACATGTGTTGCAGCAGGCAGCTCTCACCGCTCTTGCTTTTATGCGCCTTAAAATTGCCCATGTCAGTAGAAAATACAATTTAAATTGCAATTTTGTTACATTTTACTGTTACCACACTCTGTGTGCTATGCATTGCACGCTTTCTGCATGGTGTGGCATGTGAATGGCATACAACATAGGCGGCTTGTGTACCACATATATCCACATAACCATATACTCGTGCATCATATTGTCATTGTCCGTTATTGT